ATATATAATAATTTTTATTCAGGGGTTCCTTGAAACATGAAAATTATTATTCCAAGGGTAAGAAGGTTTAGAAATGATGGTGTAGAACAGGCATGTCAAACATGCGGCCCTTTGCAAACACACCTGCGGCCTGCATTATTCTCAGCACCATTCACCTTTGATGTTGCCAAGGCAGTAGAAAGCCTGCAGATAGAGCTATTAGAAATGCAGTTGGATTCTACACTCAGAGCCCTCATGACAACACAAATGTATGCTCCAGGGCCATATGGCCTGGCCCATATGGGCATATACCCCGAGGGCCATATGGGCTGGCCCATATGGGCATATGCCCCGAGGGCCATATGGCCTGACCCATATGGGCATATGCCCCAAGGGCCATATGACCCATATAGTAGCCTTCGGGGGATCCTCAATTTGACATGCCTGGGACTGTAGAATTATGCAAGGAAAGGACACATGGCTGACAAGTGGACAGCAGGTAGAAAGAGGGTGGGGCAGTAGAGTTCAGAAGGCAGAGAGTGGGCAGGTGGTATAGTGGGTAGGCAGGTGGGCAGTAGAGTGGGCGCACAGGTTCGCTGGTAGGCAGAAGTGGGCAGATGGCAGGGGCAGCTGAGAGCTTCTGGTAAAGTAAAGCTGAAATGTATAATTTTTTTTTGACAAAGTCTGCCACACCATCTGAAATAATGTAAAAGATACCAGTACTATGGTTTCTACAAGATGGATTATTGGGCTATCGTCACATCCGGCCCCCTATCCTTGGCTCCCACTCCCGCACATGGTCCCTCCCCATGATCACCTGTCCCTTTACACCTTCCATTCCCTACTCCTCCAGCCACTTCTTGATGGGATTAATATTGTATGGTCCCCACTTCCTACTAGCTGGTGGCTCAGGAGGCCCCTTACTGGTGGAATAAAGAGAATTTTCGATGTTTAATTGTTAGCTTGCCTATCTACAGTCAGCACATGACTTGTAGATACTGGTATTTACAAGACTGTAATATAAGGAGAGAGAGATCTTCTTGAGGTTATCTTGAGATGATTTTGGGGCTTAGCGTCCCTGCAGCCAGAATATAAAGGCACAAAAAATTCATACCAAAGCAGAGATGCAGAGCTGGAAAACAGGATTGGTTCGACAGAAATTGTGAGAGACCCAGGGAGGAAAAGACAAGAAAATGGGTGCAATATTGGAAGAGGCCTATCCCCTCCAACATACCAGCAAAACAAACAAGCAAGAAACAAAGACACAGCAGTGAGGAGGGGCAGAAAGGAACTTTGAGAAATTGGTTGCAGACAAATGTACAACAGATTCAGGGTCAGGCTTTTTCTATAAATTCATTAAAAGCAAGGTACATGTAAAAAGATAATATCCAGAGATTGAAAATGGGGAACAGATTCACAGAAAATTAAAAAGAAATGTACTAAACACTAAACGTACAGTTCCACAGTGTGTTTGTGCAAAAGGAGGTTTTCGGATAACCAAATACAATGCAAATTCCAGAGAACACCATTGCATACATAGATGTGTCTTGAGATGAAGTGGAAAAGTTACTCCTGGGGCTAGGAAGAAATAAAGCAGTTGGACCAGATGGAATCTGGTTCATTCTGAATTGAATCTGGTTCAAAAACATTCTCTCATCACCTTGGGTGATGAGAGAATGTGCAACTGAGCTGAGCAATCTACTTCAATTGATATTCAGAACAGCTTTGTGCACAGGAAACTTAGCAGATATATGGAAAAAGGCAAACATAGTTTCAATCTACAAAAAGGGTACAGAAGCAGGAAAGACCCCATAAATTATAGATCCATATCACTAACAAGTGTGGTAATCAAAACACTAGAAAAAATAGTTAAAACCAAATGGGTAGAACACTTGGAGAGTAATGATATAATAACAGACAGTATCTGTGTAACAAATCTACTTAGTTTTTATGGTGGAGCCACAGAGTTTCTACAGGAAATAGATGGTTGTATTGACTATGTCTAACTGGACTTTAAAAAAGGCTTTTGATAGTCCCATACAAGAGACTGTTTTGGAAACTGGAGCTGAGCGAGGAGAGGGTAGAGGTGTTAAATATGCAAAAGCTAGAAGATAGAAAAAGAGGAGATATGATCACTGCATAGAAAATAGTAAAAGGAATCTACAAAATTGATAAAGAAGAATTCTAGAAACCTGGAACCTCAAGAAAAAGAGGTAATAGATTTAAGCTAATTAAACAAAGCTGCCAAAGAACATTAGAAGTTTAATTTGCAAGCCGAGTGGTAGACAGTTGGAATAAGTAAAGTGAGAAGGTGGTGGAGACCAAAACTGGGAATGGTTTCAAAGTGTTGTATGACAGAGAATACTGGGAAGACAGGACACAAGGAGTGTGGCTCTCATCCTGTAACTACACTTAGGTTATCACACATCCAGTATGTGGCAGCCCATGATGCTTGCATCACCTGTTATTGCGAAAGCTCTTTCAGCAAAACATGCTGACCCTGAACTACATATTCTCATTGTTGACCTTGGATGTCTAGATGATCGATCATGTGTATAATAGGAGTGATACAAGTAGGTACAGTATAGATATAAATAGCTCCATGTAATAATAATTATAATAATTTATTTTGTTGGGGGACAGGCAGCCAGAATATATTCAAACACATTAGGTTGATATTGAGGTAAAGGTTGAATTACTGACCCCGCCCAGAATGTAACCCCACAACATGCTGACTAACTCTTGAGTACCTATTTACTGCTAGGTGAACAGGTGCATTAGGTGATAGAAAATGCACCCAACCATTTCTGTCCTGTCCAGGATTTGAACCCGGAATTCTCAATTATGAGTTGAGAATGAACTCAACTGTACTACCAGGAATTTCTTTCTGCCTCTCTCCTCACTGCCGTGTAGTTGTTTCTCGCATCTTTGTATCGCTGGTATATTTGGGGGTTCGGCCTCTTCCTGTATTGATTCCATTTTTGTGTCTTTTGGTCTCTGGCCCTCTCGCACTTTCTGTTGAACCAATCCTGTTTCCTAGTTCTGCTTCTCTGTTTTGGTATAAATTTTGTTGTGCCTTTATCATATGTTTCACAAAACCTGACATACATCTCATTCACTTCCTTGCCTAGCAACAAGTCTGTCCAATTATACTCACTAAAATTTTTTCTAAGGTTGCCATAATGTCCTCTCCTAAAGTCAGGTTTTTCATTTGCATCGACTCATATTTTCTTCCAGATTATAACGCATTGCATACTTTATTCCCAAAAAGACATGGTCACTTTTCCCCAAGGGAGGAAGGTACTGAATGTCAAATATTTCTTCCTCCTTCCTGGCAAATACAAAATCTAGCATGGAGGGAACGTCCCCTTCCCTCATCCTCGTAGCTTGTTTAACATGTTGATACAAGAATGTTTCCAGGATGAGGTCTACAAATTTACAGGTTCAGAAATCTTCTGCTTTAGCTTCACATGCTTCCCAGTCTATGGATTTCAAGTTGAAGTCGCCGACTATCATGGTAGTACAGCTGGTAGTACAGTACAGACCCAACTGTACTGGGCTCGGGTTTGGGAGGTGTTCCTGGGTCCTGTTGGCCCATCTTCTTCTTGAGATGATTTCAGGGATTTTTAGTGTCCCCGCTGCCCGGTCCTCGACCAGGCCTCCACCCCCAGGAAGCATCCCGTGACAGCTGACTAACACCCAGGTACCTATTTACTGCTAGGTAACAGGGGCATAGGGTGAAAGAAACTCTGCCCATTGTTTCTCGCCGGCGCCTGGGATCGAACCCAGGACCACAGGATCACAAGTCCAGCGTGCTGTCCGCTCGGCCGACCGGTTCCGATGTAGTAACGGCCGACCCATGCAGTAAGTGTATTCCTCCTCCCTGGTATGTCCTGTTTTCCTCTTCTCTGCTGTTAGATAGCTTCAGGGAACCATCAGAAGCTTTGATGGAAAACCTGTGTTGAATGTAATGAAATGCCTTTCTGGTAGAGCCGTGGTGGTTCCCTGATTCCCTCCTCCCCTACCAGGCGCATCAGTTCATGGTTTATCAGCTTTGGGCTGACTAAATTAAATTAAATTAAATTAAATTAAACTAAATTAAAATCATTAAATTAAATTTTTTATTTAGGAAAAGTACATACATAGTTGATTTACAAACATAATGTTGGATTTATAGATAGAGCTAGTAAGTACAATACTTAAAGCCACTAATACGCATAGCATTTCGGGCCAAGGCTGAGACGGTAGCCTGGCCCCCCTGGGGTGCCACCTGTTGGCAGTCACTCACACTAGGGTATTAGAACTAGTTTTGAGTGAATCATTTCAATTTGAATAAATCATTCGCAGAATTGTTTGGCTGTTTCAGAGCTTCATTTTATGTGAATCTTGCAGTTGTTTGTATTGCGTCACCTATTTTATGGGTGGATGCTTTCTCAATGTGGGTGATCGTAACAATCCTCATCTCCCTGTGCCTCCGAGGGGTGGAGGGGCACGTTCTGGCTCATGTCCCCATACACCAAACAAAGCTCCTGTGGGTGATTTGACTCAGTAGGGAAAGCCATCTCAGTGAGATAGCTTCTTGGAGCCACTGAGGCTCCACCAGAAAGAGGCGTTTCATTACATTCAATGCTCGTTTTCTTAATTGTTTTCACAATGTGTTTTTATTGTTGAAAATGATAGGGGACAGATTTTTACATATTTTGATAAACATTTTTAAGAAAAGTAAACTTTGAGTATAAAAATAAATTTTGTTGAATTATTGACATTTATCGGCAAGGCAGATTCGGCCTAGCAAGAATTTCTCTACTGACCGGATGTCTGATCCACTGAATCTGATAACTAACCACATGAAAATCCTTCCATTACATCTAATTTTCTGTTGGAGCAGGTTCCATTGGAATGGGCATTCATTGTACATTTGTCTATCTCTGCCATCTGTAAATTTTGTTGAATCAGTCATTGTATTTTACTGAGAGAGCTTTCATACTTAGGTTTACTACAGGGTTGTTTTCCCTTTGCAGGTGGATTTTAATTAGCAGAACTGAGAGGTATTGCCCATGGCTCCTGTTTACCCTCTAGCCAAACTTGCTTTTCTCTTTGTGAAACAAGTTGCTCGACCCCTGTCCAGCTCAATAAGACGCAAGGCTGTTAGAAGTCACTTCTTTAAAGAAAAATTCTGTCTTCCTCCAGCACGACGTATGTAATAGTTTATCTGCAGGACTGACAGTGGAAGGGGGAAACTATACCAAGGGTAGAGAGAACATGGCCGAAGCGAGTTCCTTTAAATAGTTAAAAGAAGCATTCTGTAGAAATGAATGAGTATAGGAATAAGTGTATGAGTAAATATGTACACATGAGTTTTACAATTACAATACAAACTTAATATATTGATCAATGGTCAGAAATTATTTTATTATTGCTATTGATCAAATATATTCAACTCATTTCTTTGCTCCATTTATGAATTTCTTTTAGGTGCTTATTTAAATCTGTCTTGCAGCAATCCCTGATGTATTATTATGTTTCTGAATATAATGTAGATTTTTTCCTCAAAGCAGCTAGACTACCCAGGAAATTTTCCTTTTACACTCGCTTCAAGACGGTCACTCATTTCACCAGTTTCCTTTACTTGTATATCACATATATTTTGCTGCATCTTTAGCATTCCTGTGAATCTGCTCCTATTATAATGTGTCAGTATTTTCATTTTAGAGGGATCCAGATATGCATATGAAAGTTATTTAATCAGAATGGTTACTTCTGGTATAAGTTGTTGAAATATTGTGCTTGATCCTGTTATTGACAAGAATAAGGATTTTTTATGCTTTGCTTCATATTGAGGAAAAAAATATGAATACAATAGGAAGCAAACCTCTGAGCTTGATTATTCTGCTGCGGCCAAAATTATATGAAGCATCTTTTGTTATGTTAAAGATCCTGCAAATTTCTGAGTTTAACTGAGAGCCACTAACACTAGTGGCCTTGACAAGGACATGAAACTGGTGGCTTGTCGAAGGTTCTCTCATTTGCCTTGATGATCTTTCCCAGCTGTACTTTGAAAGTTAACACAGTTTTGGCATTTACAGCTTCTGCGGGTAGGCAGTTCCATGGGTTAATAACCCTGTGGGTGAAAAACCATCTCCTGTTTCAGTCCTACATTGTGGCTTGTTGAGCTTGAAACCGTTGCTCCTTGTTTGTGTTACATCTGACCTTTTGAAGAAATTTTCTTGATCAACATCCTCCAAATTGATCAGTACTGTATTTTAAAAGTTTCCATGAGATCCACCCTGTCATACCAGGTTTGCAGTGTTGTTAGCCCTGTGGCCCTCAACCATTTCTGATGCATATTTTGACTTAGGTCTGGAATTATTTTTATTGTCCGGTGTTTGACTTTCTCCAGAGCAGCTATATCCTTCTGAAGATGAGGTTTCACTGCTTGGATAAAGTAACCAAAAGCACCAGAGATTTATACAGTTGAATAACTACTTTCTTTTCCTTAAAGTCAAAGGTACACTTGATTATTTCCAAGCATATGGTTAGCTTTTTTGATTGCTGCTCCTACCTGCTATGCAACTTTCATTGAATGGTAGATTTTGGCTCCAAGGTCCTTTTCTTCATCAGTCTGCTGTAATATAATGGTATTAATTTGGTAGTTGTGGCACAGGTTGTTGTGCCCCACAGGAAGGTTTTTTCATTTGTCAATATTAAAAAGTATTAAAAAGCATTTGCCAGTCATATGACCATTTGTAGAGTTCCTGCAGATCTCTTTGTAAGGCTTCAACATCATTATTATTTTCCACTTTGCCATAAATCTTTGTGTCATCTGCAAATTTGATGATGTGGTTTGTAATATTTTCATCTATGTCATTGATGTATATGACAAAAAGAGTTGGTCCCAAAATGGACCCCTGTGGTACCTCACTTACCACATTTCTTCAATCAGATTCATTACCATATAGAACAACTCTTTGTTTTCTTGGTTTTAACCATTGTTTTATTCATTCCAGTATTCTTCCACTTATTCCATGTGCCTATAATTTCTTTGCCAGTCTTTCATGTGGTACTTATCAAAGGCTTTAGCAAAATCCATGTATACTTCATCAACTGGAAGTCCTTTGTGTGAGTAACTAGTTACTGTTTTAAAAAATGTGAGCAGGTTCGTAAGGCAGGATAATCTGTCCACTTATCTATGTCATCTTGTATTGTTTCTGTCACTAGTTCTGCTCTCAATTCTGGGTACTTAATCCCCTTGACACAGGCTAGGAGTTCTTCATTGTTTCTTCTCCTTAACTTTCTTTGCCCCAAATCCTTCAAAATCTGCATTGTTATCTTCTGCAGGAAACTGATCTGATGCAGGCCCAAGTTTTCTCCAACAATTTCTTAATGTTAACTTTACTTTATCTCATGCCTTATCAATAGTCCAGATAGCTGACTTTGTCTAGACTTTAGTCCTTAACTGTTCCTGGCTATTTAATGAGACATCTGGCAAAAATCCTATTATTGAGGTGCTTAAGGTTCCTAATTAATTATTCCTTGATCCATGGGTTGGATCAGAGTTGTTGTATTGGGTGGTAAGAACATGTCTAATTATATTGCCATTTATTAGTTCATCACTTAGTGGATGCATTGCACTATTATCTAGCAGCAGCACAACCTTATGGTTTTGTGGGAGGCCAACACTTCAGGTGCTCATTCACCTCTGGTACAAAGTTCTTTATTAAGCCTCTCGGCAAATATTACTTGAGACATCCACCCACTTGACTGGTTCTTATAAATCATAGGCAAACACCTAGTTGACTTTAAAATTCTTGGGTTTTTGCTAATCCTAATCCCAATAATTTCAGTTTGTGCATGCCAGCTGTGCTAGCAGCCGGTCGGCCGAGCGGCCGAGCGGACAGCACGCTGGACTTGTGATCCTGTGGTCCTGGGTTCGATCCCAGGCGCCGGCGAGAAAAAATGGGCAGAGTTTCTTTCACCCTATGCCCCTGTTACCTAGCAGTAAAATAGGTACCTGGGTGTTAGTCAGCTGTCACGGGCTGCTTCCTGGAGGTGGAGGCCTGGTCGAGGACCGGACCGCGGGGACACTAAAAAGCCCCGAAATCCTCTCAAGATAACCTCAAGATATAGCACAGCACAACACAGAAATTCTGTTTGTTTAGCTTATAACTACCTGAAGGATCATCTTCACCACCATGAGCCATCGTGTGTGTGAATAACATTAGCCAGTACAAATCTGTCTCATTGGCATTATAAATTTGCTTTCGAGATAAATTTTGTTCCTGCTTCATCTCTACAAATTTACTTAAATACTTTTCTGCACCAGTAGTGTCAGTAGACTGCCTTTCACCATGTACTCTAATGTATTTAATTCCATGGTGGAAATTAAAGCTTCCGAGTCATCCATCAACGTATAAACACTGCTCAGGAATTTTCATAGATTGGTGAAACTCAGTGTGCTTTTTCCATGGGCAGCCAGCCTGCCACTGACTTTTTGGTCTCATGCTTCTGCTTGTACCACTCCCACACTGCATTATCAACACTCCAATTTTGCTTAATTTACTTCTTGGGATTCCACTGATTTGATTGGTTAATTGTGTAATTCTTAATTATTCCAACTTTTTTCTCAAATGTCATCACTGACGTCTTTCTTTTATATATCTCGCTTATTGAAGCTTTCACTGACCGAGGTGCATTTGGAACCGACATGGTGTATGGAGGTTCCTAGATTTTTACCTGATTTATCTGATTTTACCTGTACTTGATTTACCTGAGGGCCACTAACCTTAGTAGTAGCCTTGACGAGGACTGGAAGCTGGCAGCTTGTTGAAGATCCCCCCCCCCCATTTGCCTTGATGATCTTTTCTAGGTACATTTTAAAACTCAACACCGTTTTGGCAGGTACGGCTTTGGTGGGTAGGCAGTTCCATGGGTTAATAACCCTGTAGGTGAAAAAGCATCTCCTGTTTTCAGTCTTACATTGTGGCATGTTGAGCTTGAAACTGTTGCTCTTTGTTTGTGTTACATCTGACCTTCTGAAGAAAATATCCAGATCAACATCCTCTAACTTGTTCAGTATTTTAAAAGTTTCATTGAGATCGTAGGCCTTTCATGCCTGGTTTGCATTGTAGTTAGCCCTGTGGCCTTCAAGCATTCCTGATACAGATGACGACTTAGCTCTGGAATAACTTTTGTTGCCCGATGCACCTTCTCCACAGTAGCTGTGTCCTTCTGAAAATGAGGTTTCCATGCTTGGATACAGTAATACAAATGGATTACATACATGGATTATATCCATGTATGTTTAGTATATCCAACAAATCACAGAATGAATACTTCAGTCTCATGACAAATCAAAACAATGGGTCATGAATCTGTGACATCACACAGAAGGCACTGGGGTGGCTCCTGACACAATCACTGGGGTGGCTCCTGACACAATCACTGGGCAGAGACTAGGCCCATCTTCTACCCATGCACCTTTCATCGCCCCTGAGTAGCGAGGCTTTGGGCAGACACTCATTTCACCACTTTATCTTACATATTTATTCAGGCCGCTTGCCGCACTAGTTTATCTGTACATATTTATTCAGACCGCTTGCTTCACTAGTTTCTCTGATTTTTTTTATTTGGATTTACTCAAAATGGGAAATGGGCATATCCAGAAAGCATGTAGTCCTCTGCATCTAAGTATAATTACCTAAGTGTAGTTATAGGATGAGAGATATGCTCGTGGTATCCCATCTTCCCAATACTCTTATCATATGACACTTTGAAACTTTTGGATGCCAAAACTGATGGTTTTGGCATCCACCACCTCCTCATGTGTTCCAACCAGCTACGACTGTTTGCAAAAGTGAACTTTTTAATTTTTTTGGCAGCTTTGATTCCGTACCTTAACCACCGTGCTGCACCGAGTTTATTGTGAAATTCCCCCGGTGCGCATGAAATATGGTGTTCCCAAAAATTCTTTTTTTTTTTCTTTGTAAAATGATAAATTCCCTTCCCTGAACATGTCTATGTAAAAAAAGTACCAAATTCCACTTACTTTGGCTGTGGGGATGTGGACAAGGTGCGCTGTGACGTCATCAGGGCCTGGTCGCCCGTGCATGAATCGCCCAGACACGATCGCGCGGGCCATTCAAGCACCGGGTGTTGCCACAAATATATTTTCAATTATTTGTTTTATGTATTTCCAA